AAGTTCCCATCCTGGGTTTTGGTTTGGTGCCTTCCCTCTAATCACAATCTTCATCACTCTGAAAATTGTAATTAGAATCCAAGGATAAGGGGGAAAAAAAGTGTTGATGGATAAGAGGGAATATCCCCCTGTGACGCATGACCAGAAAGGGTTAAGCATCCTTCAGGATGAATGATTCAAATTCAACCCTTAAAAACATATGGGGAGACAATGTTTGTGTTTTTGTGTATTTACATATATATGGGTAGAGATCAACAATGTAATCAACAGTCCCTGTCTATGCTTTATTCTGTTAATTCAGAGATCAATAGAAATTCTTAACATTTAAATGAACTGCAAACCTAGGATATAGCTGTATTCATCTCTCTTTGAAATGTATAGCCAATCATCTGTGAATGGTGGAAAAACAGGCAATTGCCTTATGTGGATCTGTGTGGATAATTACCAGCGATGCTTAGGAAATGAGTGTCTATTGTTTATGGAGGGACTCCAGGCTGTCACAAGAAGGCCTGAGACTGTATAAAATGCAGGACCAGCTCTAGGCACCAGCAAAGCAAGCATGTGCGTGGGGCGGCACAATTCCAGGGGCGGCATTCTCGACATTCTTTTTTTTTTGCTGGGGGCAGCAAAAAACGTAGAGCCGGCCCTGATAAAATGGGCTTGGGTCCTGGTCCTGTCATCTCGGATCTGCTTGAGGCTTCATGCAGGGGAAGCCTAAGTCATAAGGAGTGAGATCCCAGTGCAGACTGGCCCTCCCTGAATACAAACATTGGACTATAACCTATGGACTTACTTCTGAAAGAACTCTGCAACTACAAAGCTCACCATCTCTGCTATGAATCTGAATCTCAGAACTGTACTCATGTCTGTATGTATACTGATCTTTTAACCAATGCTCTCTCTCTTTTCTTTTTTAATACATTTTATTTTAGTTTATAAGAATTGGCTGTAGCGTGTATTTGGGTAAGATCTGGAATATTCATTAACCTGGCAGATAATGTGTCTGATCCTTTGGGATTGGTAGAACTTTTTATATGATGAATAAGATTTTCAGTAATCTTCATCATACTTGACTTGGGTATCTGGGTGGAGGCCTGAGGCTGGGTTACTTTAAGGGAACTGTGTTGTTGGCTTCTGGGTAACCAGTGAGGTGTAATAGAAGCTGTTTTGTGCTGGCTTGGTAAATCTAAGTATTGGAATATCCACCAGCTTTGGCGATTGTCTGCCCCATTCTTTGCAGTTCACCCCAATTGAGTGACCTCAGTTGGCTCCCCTGGGACCCCGGTCACACCCCCATACACATCCTCACCCCTATTTTGATGTGAAAGAGCACTGACACTCAGCATGGAAATGCAAACTGAAACAACATGCATGTGGAATGACCATGCAAGAGAAAGCAAAGATAAGCAGTTGAAAAGTACCTCGGAAGTAACCTTGTTAGACAGTAATTTACAGGTGTACTGGTGGAAAGGAAAAGACCAGCATTAGTACATTGAACAGACGTGTTGAAGTTGGAAACAAAAAAACTGGGAACAGAACTTGAAGCAGTTTGGACCTGTTTAAAAGGTTAGTTAATGTATTTGTTTTTAAATGAAGTTGCTTAGCCAATTGCCATCATGTTTACTCTTATTGGTCAAACTATTTCAGTCATGCTGCTTGGCAGCGAATGAGGTATCCTCTTCCCATCGTCTCCCGCCCAGTGGCTTCTTCTTTGGAAGACACAGCTAGAGAAAGAGAATAACATTTTCTCCCCTTATGGAGCGAAGTCTTTCAAATGGCAAATACACTGGATTTGACCATTGTCAAAGCAGACTGCTCTGACCTGAAAGACAAAAGCTGACAATGACTACAGGAACTGCCATGTTGAAGAATAGCACACTGAAATTAGAGCAAAACAAAGCGCCTTCTTGTGCCACTGGAGCAGGGCGCACCCAAGGCCCTGATCCTGCAAACACCGACTTTACTGTCATTTATTATGTGCTGCAGGACTTATGCATGTGGTTAATTTTAAGCACACAAATAGTCCCATCTTGCATATGTTAGTGTTTGTAGGACTGGGACTGGAGTCTGTTCAGCTTTGCTCCCTTCTGTGTTACCCAGCAGAAAGGAGCATTTGACCCAATAGAACTTATCTTCCAACAATTTCGAAAGTCTCTCATTTTCCTTCCATTCAGACGGTGAGCAGAGGTCTGCTCTACATGATCGGATTTTCAAAATGGCAGCTGCCTGTTTGCCTGTTAATTATGCTTTTTTTCAGTATATTGTAGACGCTTGAAAATGGTTCAGTGATTTGCTCTCGTATGTAATTAGATCCAGAGATTACTCTCTTTTGCCTGAAACTGCATTTTAAAAGCCTCTGCTGACAAATCAGAACTAGTGGTTGTTTAAATAATTATTGCTTAGCCTGGCACATAAAATATTGTCTCTAACTAAGGCCGGTGCAAGCTTAGCATGGCAAAGCTACATCTTTATCATGTCATTTCTTATCCGCCCCCCCACCCCCGCCCCCCTTTCAGGAGTAGTTTACACAAGGGAAAAAGAAAAATAAAGGGAGGAGAAAGAAAACATTCCAGCTGTTTAGGGGAGGCTCACTCTGGTCTTACAAACACAGCCCTGTGATAGGATTTTAGACAAGCAGAAAGGGGAACATAAATACATTAAAAAAAAAAATTTGGCTCCAGATGAGCTTCCGGAAAATGAGAATGAAAATAAAACTGGGCCAGACCTTTAGTGGGGGGTCAATCAGTGTAGCTCCTTTAACTTCAATGGAGCTACATCAATTTATCCAAGTGCAGGATCTGGTGCACAATTTGTTTGATGGTACTAATTGTATGGCAGTAAAAATTTTAATGAACAGAGGCTTTTAATAGTGTTATCACTGAGCCGCCGTGATACACAGAGTTCTGTCTCTATGGCGTGATGCTCTTCATTTGGACCAAAGTTCTCAGTCAAGACACAGAAGCGCGTTTCAAACACAGACAAACAATCTTGGCCAACTTCTTTTCAAGAAGGCACCTGTGCAACCCCACCGACTTCAATGGAGATGCACTGGTGTAACTAAACAGAGTCTGGCCCTCAGCATCATGACATCTCTATGAGAGTAGCAGCACTCACATGTGCTACATGGTAAACCACATACAGCAGGGGACAATGGAATGACTGCGACAAAGAATTCCAGTCATAAGCCATTGCTTGGTAAGTCACCTGAACCCATCAGTGCTACAAGGAAAAGGTTATGATGAGCATGCAATCAGTCTTCATCCCTTAGCAAAGCAACTTCTGAACAATATCAAGATCTAAAGCAAAAAGGCTGATGGAAACAAAGTCCAAAGTTATTAAGGCCACATAAGGACTGATTCTGCTCTCCCTTATGCTGGTTTTACTTCACTAACTTAAATGAAGTTACTCCTGGGTTATACCCAGAGAAAGTGAGAGAAGAATGAGGTCCCAAATCTCTTGAATGAAAGGCTTGACAGCATCATTCAACAGGCATTAGCACAGCAATATACACAAGGGGAAAATCCTAATAACACCCAATGAAAACTATCCACTTGCACCCAGGGGATAGAGCCCATTGGACAGTCACCTCTTCTGAAAGAGGCAGAGGACACTGGCGAGTAACTCATTCTTGAGACATGTCCTCACTGTAGAAAGGCAACAAGCCAAGTTAGCAAAGTTTCTTGTGTCAGATGAAGTCCATAGAAGCAGGTGAGCTGAGACCACTCTCGCTGAGACTACGGGCTTCATCCTGCTCCACTGAAATCAATGGCAGTTTTGTCATTGACTTCAGTGGGAGCAGGCTCAGACCCTAAGATCTGTCTGCACTTCAAACCCACCCTTCTATCTTGCATTAACTTACAACCAAAAATGGAGTGGGATCTTTTTACATTTCACTGTTTCTAATCTGAAGTCTCATACTCTGTTGATATAATATTGAACACCAAAGATTAAAACCTAGCATATTCTGTAGGCTACTGTTTGTAGTATGAACTTTAAAGACTATAGTCTTAACAGGGCTGGACTGGGATTTCAGAGTAGCAGCCATGTTAGTCTGTTCTTTTTGGATTGGGATTGTTTTTCTTAAGTGTTTGAAAAGAGTCTGGCACATTGTGGGTGCTAGAGCAAATACAGAACAACGGCCAATAGTAACCACTAACAATAATCATATACATGTAAGGGTTTATACTACCCATCTCTCCTACCCACACAGCATTTATGCTCACAACAGTCATGAGCGGCACCTTTGTAAAGTCCCAGTGATATGATGGGAGAACAGTTTGCTTACTGTATGCATCTGAAGTCTGACAGTCATTAGCCATGAAATTTATACCCATTCCCCTACTCTGATGACCATCTGAACATCAATGTTGGTAGCTCAAAAACTTGAACTGCAGGCACTTACATGAAGAACTCAGAGCAGAATTTTTGTCAATTTCCCCTTTCTGCTTGTAGGAAAGAACAGAACAGACTCAATGGGAAACAGCATTCTGTCCACTGTAAGTCCAGGATCCCATTCCACAAGTTCCTAACCAGATCCTGGAGCAACCCAAGAAGATATTGCCCTCAGGGAATCCATCCTAGGTCTTACACTGAACCCAGAGCATACTGGGATAGGACTTCGGGAGTCTAATGAGTGCTGGGTGAATACTTGTAGTGCACAGATATGAGCAATAAGGCTCATACTGCAGTTACATAGTTCATTGCAGGATTTCAGTGAGCAGTGAATTCAAATATGATCCTCTGATCACAGAGGGCAACTAGGCAGAGTTTATTATTATACGATTGCCACTATGATTGATTGATTTCCCCCCCTTCAGATAAACTGATACTGTAGTTTCTTTTGTTTTTTTTTTTAATTCTTTAAACATCTTTAAGGCACTCAGCGAGTCATTCTCAGCAGAACAATTGATCTTTAAGAGGCCAAATTTTGTCCTACTAACCACAGCGATCTGCCTGTCGTGAAACACACACTGAAGAGGGGAAGGGAAGAGTGTACTTACACTGCTGTCATCCATCCTCTCACGCCTCTTAGTTTTGTGTGTTTCATAATCCTCCATGAGGGTCTGCAGCAAATTCTTGGGCCTCTGGGATCCTGCAGCCTCGTCAGGCAGTAAGTCAGACTGGGAGAGGGGACCTTCTGTTGTCGGGGATGGAGGAGGCCTGATCTTCTCTATCTTCCCTGAAACGACATGAAGGGACCCCTTTCTAAATGGACAGATTCCCAAGTAGTTTCCAACTGAAGACACAGCTTGCAAAAGGAACGAGTTGGAGCAATATTTCCAGTGTGGCTTGAACAGAGAGAAATACTGAAACGTAGTCTACAAAATAATGTATTGAAACAAACACGGCCAAAGTGAGTTTCAAGTCCCTCCTTTTCCCCCTCCCAGACCAGACTTACACAAACATTTAAGTGATCTTATTTCATAACACCTAGCAAAGCTGTCAAGTAACATGTATACGAATCTACCCTATCACTGCTCATTACTAGAGCTCTGGTTAAATCACCCCAACCCCTAATGACTCACTTCTGTGCTCTGGACATACATGCAAGCTTATGGAAATCGCTGGACTTATTTTTATTGAATCAGACACCCAAAAAACTGCACAGTGTCACAGTGCAGAGGGGCCCAAACTGTGTTCCATGGAGCACTTGCAGTTCAAGAAGGGCTGTCCGGTTACATGGTTCTGGCTCCTTCTTGTTTCCAGCTGCTAAATTGCATGAAAAGAGGTAAAAATATCTTTGATACATTTCCTAGTATTTCTTTTCCATGCAACTAGTTGCTGGTCCGTGTGACTGTAAGTGGGAGGGGAAGGTGATCTGTGAAACACGCTCTCTATTAAGATGTAGTCCAGGCGAGGGAAGAATTTGTGAACCCCATGTCCACTGGTTAGATGAAAAGGCTGGGAGCCAGGATGAATTCAGGCTGTAGCTCTGACAGGACCGCTTGCTCACTAGGCAATGTGCTCACGACTTAACTAGCCTAGCTGGAGAACTGGGTACAAAGCAGGCACATGGGGAAGACCGATCCTACAAGAAGACTATTGCTACGGCTCTGTATACTGTGCGACCCCTCCAGATTCAGCCAGCGCCGCCCAGAGGATTCAGGGGGCCTGGGGCAAAGCAATTTCAGGGGCCCCTTCCATAAAAAAAAGTTGCAATAGTATAGAATACTATATTCTCGTGGGGGCCCCTGTGGGGCCCGAGGCAAATTGCCCCACTTGCCCGCCACTCCCGGGCAGCCCTGGGAAAAATAAACATTTCCACATCTCGGCACAAACCCAGTTTTGACAAAACTTCTTTTCAAGTCACCTTTACAAGGTATCACTGGTTCCCAGCATCAGCTAGTGCTAAAAGGCACTAAAGCTCATTAAAAGGGTTGGACAAATACTTTCCGTCAAAACTTTTTTTGGATCGAAAACTAGGGGTGTTTAAAAAGCAGAAAAAAAAATCACGGACAATGTCTGCTTTCCTTCAAAATTTGTTGTGGTTTTTTTAATTGAAAAGCTGAAATTAGTCTGCCAAAACCTGAACATGGTTTGGGGTTTCAGAAGTGTGTGGCCAAATATTTGCTGCTTGCTGTGTTTGTTTAAAGAAACAATAAAAAAATTCTGCTTAAAAAAAAATCCAAAACTTTTGAACCACCTCAGCTTGTGACCAAACGCCTGAGCCCATCCAATCAGAGATTTTTCCAGGTTTCTGATACGCTGCTGGCTTCCTTGACTCATATCTGTCTCCATAACTTTGGGTTCATTTAGCTTAGAACATAAGAACGGCCATACTGGGTCAGACCAAAGGTCCATCTAGCCCAGTATCCTGTCTACCGACAGTGGCCAATGCCAAGTGCCCTAGAGGGAGTGAACCTAACAGGTAATGATCAAGTGATCTCTCTCCTGCCATCCATCTCCACCCTCTGACAAACAGAGGCTAGTGACACCATTCCTTACCCATCCTGGCTAATAGCCATTAATGGACTTACATTCACTCCATGAATGTATCTGTTTCCTAGAGACTGGCTCCACGGGGTCCCTCACAAACTGGAGACGGTTACTGTGGGTTTGTCTTTAGTATAGCTTATGTACATACTCCATGAACTGAGCATTTGAGCTTGTTCCAGAATCTGGGATGAGCCTATGTTGTGAAAACTAAAATGCTCAAAATAGCACATGCATGTGAATGGACACAGGGTGCTAAAATTAAATTAACCCAGGGGTTTTCAAACTGGGGGTCGGGACCCCTCAGGGGGTCATGAGGTTATTACTGGGGGTTGCGAGCTGTCAGCCTCCACCTCAAACCCCGCTTTGCCTCCAGCATTTGAAATAGTGTTAAATATATAAAAAA